GAGTGGCAAAAGGGCAGGTGGGCACCTTCTCCGAGAGGCCCCTCAGCCCCCTAGATCCCAGCAAAGGCTGAAGCTTTGTGGAGGGTTGCCTCAGGGAGAGGAAAGGCACTTTGGGGGTTGAGGCATTGCTGAAGGCCATGGAGGGGAAGGTCTTCGAAGGAGAACTGAGCCTGGGTCTAATGTTCAGCCATGTCCTCGCCATTTGGTTCAAGACCACTGATGTCCCTAGGACTTTGGGAAAGAAGTTATTGCAGCCCAGAGAGGCCTTTGGAAGGACTGTTATGCAAACTAAATGAGAAATGGGTGTCAATGAGCAATATAATGAAGGCAAATTTCAGTACAGTAATGGTGAAGGGAGAATTCCTACGGTATCTGCTACAGTGGGGGCGGGGTGTCCAGGCCTTAGCCCGTGTGAGTGTGGGGAGATAGTCCAGGTTTAGGGGATTGCTCGTGGACCAGAACAAACCGGCACTGGGCTCATCTGGTCGGTGGCTTGAGGCAGGGACAAGCCTCGAGCTTGGGAGGGTCCTGGGGCCTCAAGCACCCGCAAGAGGCGAGAGGTGGGCGTGGGGATGTGGGCCCCCGGGGTAGAGGGCAGTGCACGCCGCCTGGACTCGGACCTTCAGGTGGCTGGGCCCCTAGGAGTGGCGGTGAGTGCGGCAGTAGGGCTGGTGGGTCGAGCAGTAGGCGTCGGGAATCCGGAAAGCATCTTTTCCAGTCCCAGGCGCCTAGCCTTTAAGCTCCAGGAGGCGCGGAGAGAGGAGGGAGGGCTTGTCGAAGCCCAGAATTCCAGAAGCCGCAGGTCCCGCCCGTCTGAAGGAGAAATCGGCCTATGGTGGCCGCCGCAGCGGTGCGACGTTGCCAACTCCCTCTGCAGACTCCGCTGCTCACCCGAGGGTAAGCAAGAGGGTGGGGAGAGTGGTGCGGCCGTTAGCTCGCGCCGGAGGAAGCCCGACCTCTGGGCGTCTGGGATCCAGTGTACTATTCCCCCAGGTGCGAACCCCGCGGTATCTCTGGGCGCCTGGGTTCCCAGACGGGCTTCGGCGGCTATCAAGGGCAGGCCGGGGGTCGCCAGAATCTCGCTCCCCTCGACAACACCCGCCGCGCGGGAACTTCGACGGCCCGCGTCACGGCCTGGAAAATGACCAAGGGCCTAAGATCAGTAACCACGACAGCCGGGCCACACTTATTGTTTAAAAGGAAGCTAGGTGCCTTTGTTCATCCACTTTACTAAAGTAAATGCAAAAAAAAAAAAAAATTACCCCTGGTCAAATCGCCTCCCTGGAACCCCAGCCCCCTGTCCCAGGTCTCCTCTCCCCTTCCTTTGGGCCAGGACACCCCTGTGGCGTTGGGAGGACCCGCTTCTGGCTGGAAAGGGGCTTAGGGCCACACCGATCGCGCCTGAGCGCAGCCTGCAGGCCACTGCGCAGCCCCTACCCCGGAGGCGCTCTCCCAAGCCGGGTTTTCTTGGGAAGCGGATAGGCTCCAGCCGGTCGGCGCGTCTGGAGGCCTAGGCCCGGCTTCCAATTCCATTGAAAACGACCAGCATCTTATCTCGCGTCGCCTCCCGGGGATTCCCACCCATCCCCGGCCCAACCTAGCCCAGGCGGAAGCCGACCCGCCCCGGCTTTTGAAGTCCCCAGAATTTCAATCTGAGAGGAGCCGGCTGGACCAGAGCCCGCCGCCCCCCGCGTGGGAGGATGAGGCGGGCCTGCGGGGGGTGGGAGGGGAGGAGGGGTAGAGAAGTTGTCTCCCCGCAGCTGAAGGCAAGACGCGGCTGGGCCGAGGCTGGACTCCACTTCACTGCTAACACCCCCTCTCTGCTTTTGTGGGACTGTCCTGGCCTTGGTGGCCGTGGGCTTTTTACTTCGTCTGAGAATTTACCTACTGTTTCCAGCCGTGTGGTGAATAACCTCCAAGATACAGCGATAATGATGCTATTAAAATACCTCCCCCCAAAGACAGAAAATGTGTTCTTATCCAGTCCCCTTCTCCTTTCTCCTTCCTCCTGGTAAAAACACCACCCTTATCTCGCCTCTGTTCATCTGATCTTGATGAAAGGATGCTTTAAAAAGAAGTGATATTTGATTTTTTTTTTTCCTCAGGCGCTGGCTGTTGGAACGTGGGGTGCAGTAGGTCCCTAAAAACTGGGGAAACTGAGGCTACTTTGAAAGGGGGGCAGGAATTGGGGGAGAGATGGGGCGGAGTAGGAGCCCAGAAGAGGTAGTCTCCCTCTTGGATAGTCTGCGCCCTTACCTAGGACGCTAGAGGAAGACCCCTTCGTAGGGCCAGACCTAAGGAGACTCTAGTGGCCCCCCTTGATTTCTCAATCCTATTTCGCTTTCATCTTGCCGGGAAAATCCAAAGGAAAAGAGGATCAAACGCTGGGCACTCGCATTGAATGCAAAGCTGGGGGCGGAGCAGGGGAGCGGGAGTCCTTCTGAAGGCCTAGTCGGAAGGAGGTGCGCGCAGCGGGCCCCCGAGGGAAGGGTGGGAGAGCCCCAGTCTGGTGCTGCAAAGGCCGGGCAGCTAGGCAGCTCTAATACCAGGCGCGAGGGGCTCGACTTTGACAGGGAGGAGAGAGAAGAAACCAGGTGTTCCCGCAGACTCGAGCTGCCGGAGGGAAGGGGGGCGTGCCCGAGTCCTTCCCAACTAGGCACCGCAGCAAAAGGCTCTGGGGTTTGATCCTCGCACCCGCCGCCCACTGCTTCTCTCAGATCTTTAAAATATTCTCCCAGATTTGTAGGCTAGCAGTGCTCGGCGGAAGGCGGTTTAGGGAGCCGGAGGGAGTGGAGATGTTTATGAACACCCTGCGCTCCGGATTGCCTAGCCCGCTACTACTCCCAAACCCAAGGACAGGTTAAGGAGCATCTTCTTACTGAATTGGGAGAGAAGTCAAAAGCAGGAGTGGGGAGAAGCTTTTGTCGCTTCCTGAACCCCTTGCTTCCTCCACTTCTCTCCCATAACCTCAACACAGGGAGACTGAGGTTGGGGTGGGGGGTAGGGAGGAGAATAGAGAAAAAGGAGGAGAAGGGGAAAAAAGTAGGAGGAGGAAAGGAGACAAGAAGGTAGTGGTGGAGGAACATATTTTTTAGGATCTCGGAAGCTCGGACTTTGACTTCGGATGGGGAAAAGCAGGGGAGTGGAGGGGACGCCCTTTCCCGACAGGCCGCCCAGGGCTTTTGAACTTCTGGGGAGGGGGCGGAGAAAGGGGAGTTGTAGGAGTTACAGAGTGGAAAAGACAGCCGCCTCCCGCCCCCAGCTAAGTGGGAAGAGACCCAACCCACCTGACCGCGCAGACACACTCGCGCTGAAAGAGCACGCAAAGCGTCAGCTTCCTAACCGGTCCTAGTCCACTTTTCCTGGAAGACCACCTGAGAGGGAGCTTGCAGCTGCCCCCAGAGACATCACGCTCCTCAAAAACCCGCCCCCTAGTCCTACGATGGGGGTTCCCTTCCGTCCCCGAAGATTTCACAGAGCCCCGGGTCACTTGCTCCTTCGGGCATTTTCAGTTACTTCCCTCTCTTCTAACGGCACTGCCACCCATTTTTGGAGCGGGGAACCGTAATCCTTGGGCAGCGGCTGGGGGAGGGCCCTATGAGTCAAACTCCTGCGAACCTCAACGCCGTGTGCTTGGGCATCTCTCAACCCCTGCACTGAATTCCCTGGTGCGAGCTAGCGCATTCATCTAGCCGGGGGCCTCCGGCGCCGCTGCCGCTGTAGGGGCCGCCCTGGCCAGCGCCTCATCACTCGGAAAACCTGTTTCCGGGAGAATTCGTTGACTGAATAAACAGCTTAAAATGCAGACGGGGAAAAAAAAAAAAAAGCGATTCAGACGCCTCAAACGCTCTCCCCACCCCACATACCTGTAAGTGCGGGCGAGGTCCGAGCAAAGGGGAAAGTGATTTCTTCTAATAGCAACCTGAAGGTCAATCAAGCTGGGCTGTGGAAAGCTTAAGGCCACCTAGTTTGCGGGGGGGGGGGGGACGGGGAGATAAAAAAAATAATCAGCGAACACTTTGAGTCAGCAGCCAAGGCTAGTCTTTACAGAAAAAAATATTAAAGCATTTATCTCTAGCCCCTTGGGGGAGGAAAACAGCAAAGTTCTCTTTTGGTTCCCAGGAGGAAGGAAACAGCTGGGGGTGTGGGGAAGGAGGAGGAAGAGAGAGGAAAGAATACTCCAGGCTCAAGCTCGCCAGACAACCTGGGGCGGGGGGAACACTTTTTTCGGTAGCTTGTAAAAAGACTTTGGAGCCCATATGAGGTTAGCTCACCAAGGGCAGCTGCAATAACGCCAAGACAAGGGAGGCTGGTGAGTCAGCCTTCACACTTCTAAAATGCAGTTAAGGATTCTCTTATCAGTGTTACATCAAGGCACCAACTTAAGAAAACAAAAGCCAAAACAACAATAAAAAAAAAAATCAAAAGCGTATTCAATTACCGAGTCCCGCTGCCCTGCGGAACTGGCCGCGCGTTAAGCTCTCTCTTTTCTTTCTGCGGAATTCCATTTGCATCCTCTCTGCCTGGGTGTCTCCCTCTCTGTGTGTGTGTGTCTCTGTCTGTTTTCACACTCTCCTCCCCATTCGAGCGAGGCCCACACCTGGCGCATCACTGCCGAGCCATTAGCTGCGGGTATCCTTTCATCTTCGTTGTGGCAGACGTTTCTATTTAAACACTTGCGCTTGCCGAGTGGCGTCACCAGCGGTACTGTAATGACGACTGCAGCGAGAGGATGACAGCTTAGAAAGAAGAGGGCAATGGGGCTTCCTCCCAGAGGCGGTGCGGCACAGAGGAGCACTCGCATCACAAGGTGACCCCAGCTCCCCACCGCCGCCGCGGCCGCTGTCACCGCCAACACCGCGCTCTGGCCGCTCTGCGCCCGCCCTGCCTCTCCGCCTCTCTTTCTCCTTCCAGCAGCCAAGACCCGTCTGGCCACTGGGGACCCAGGGAGCCGGGGGTTAGGTGCTCACTAGGGCTTCCTCTCTCCGGAGAGCCCCGGAATGGAGAGCCGAAAGGACATGCTTATGTTTCTGGATGGAGGTCAGCTTGGCACCCTGGTTGGCAAGAGGGTCTCCAATTTGTCCGAAGCCGTGGGCAGCACGTTGCCCGAGCCGCCAGAGAAGACGGTACCCCGTAGTTGCCTGAGCCCGCGAGCCAGTCCTCCTGCTGCCCGGGAGCGCGGCGGGGGAGGGCCGGAGGAGGAGCCGGTCCGCGGATTAGCAGGCAGCACCGGGGGCCCAGGCGCCGAGCCGCGAGCAGCGGGGGCGGCAGTCCCCGGCCCGGGTCCCTCGGCCCCCTCCGCAGACAGCCTGTCCGGCCAGGGGCAACCCAGCAGCTCGGACACTGAGTCGGATTTCTATGAAGAAATCGAGGTGAGCTGCACCCCGGACTGCGCCACCGGGAACGCCGAGTACCAGCACAGCAAAGGTAGCCACCGCGCCCCTCCACTCCCCCGGCCTCCCACCGCGCCTCAGCTTAGGCCGGGAGGGAGACACTCCTTTCTCCCACGGTAGTGTAGCTGGGGGGACCCACCTGAGCGATTCTCCCCTGCTACATGCGCCCTGGTAGGGGTCTCCTTCTGCGCTCTGGCATTGGCGGGACTAGGAGTGACAGCTGTGCCCTGGGAGAGGAGGGAGACCCAAGCCCTGGGCTTGAGGGGGATTCAAAGAGCATCCCTAACCCCCCAGTGTTTTGTGGGAATGCTTCAACTGAGCCGGAAAGACACCTTCCCCTGGGCTTGGGCAGATCAAACGCGCGGGTCCCGGCAGATTGTTGCTGGCGGGGTGTAACGCGCACCTAGGCGCGGAAGCCTGGAGTCCATAAAGAACCGTAAATTCCGGCTGGCTGAGGCGGTCCGGGTACTGCGGCCCTCCGACTAGTTTGCACGTCGGTCAGAGGTCCAAATTACCTTGTCACTTCCCGGGCTCGGCGGCGCCAGGTCGGAAATGGTCCCAATGGTCTAATTGCCTTTGGTCTCCGGTTGCATTTGAAAAGGCAGAGCTCGGGCCCTCCCCTCTCTCCTCTCCTTCCTAGTCCTACTTCTCCACCCGGAGGAAAAGGAGCTGCAGGGGGCTGGAGCCCCACCCTTCCCGGGGGTACGCCCAAAGTAGGGGGGGCTGTCACACTGATTCAGCTGGAGAACCCCTCCCAACCAGTGGCTAGAGGGAGGGGGTGAATGGCTGGGGAGGGTGGGTGAATAGCCCAGAAGGGAGTTTTCCTCCTTCTTGCCAATAATCCCCCTCAGGGGGATGGAAAATAGGAAGGGAGAGCCCACCAGCTCTCTGCCTGTCAAGGCCTTTCAGCCTACTAGCAGACACTCCTTTACAAGGATGTGGGGAGTAGGTGGGAAGGGCCTGGGAGGGAAGAAAGACTATCCCTTGGCCTTGGCAGCCAACACCTTGTTGCACACCCACACCCAACCCTTACCACCTTATCCACTCAACCCAAACTATTACTATAATATGCCCTCAGAACAACCAGAATACCACTCCAATATGCTATGATAACAGGATACTGAACCATGCACTCCTATACCACCCCTACAGTACACGCAACCGAGTACACACTCCCAACCCTGCACTGGCAGCCTGGCACACACATGAGCAAGGATACTCGGTGCTTGCCTGGCACCTAGCAATGCCCTAAGACCGAGAGTTCACAACACTCCCGCACACAGGTTCCCTTACACTCGCACGCCTGTCCAACATGCACACCCTTGCCTTGCCCACCCCTTCCAAAGGTGAGCTAGATGCTGCACCTTCCTGTGCCCCAGGGTGGAGCTGGGGGTGGAGGGCTGCTGGTGGCCTCTGTACCCAGCAGGCGTTAGACCAGGGCCTCCCAACCAGCATCCTGGAGGGCAGCGCGTCCCCAACCGGTGCCTGTGCCCAAGCGAATGGCAAGCTTATCCTCCCTTCCTCATCCCCGAGTCTTCAGCGGCAGTGACTGAGTCGGGTGAGGGGGGTCTTTTCTGCCTCGCGCCCACACCCCAGGCCGCCAGCCCCAAGTCAGCGGCGTTTGTGTGTCTGTCTGTGCACGCGTGTACGCTGGGCTCCCTGCGCAGGGTCTGGCTCCGAGGCACTGGCGGGCAGTCCGAACGGCGGCAGCGAGGCCTCCAAAAGCAACGGCGGCGGCGGCGGCGGCGGCGGCGGAGGGGGTGGCTCGCAGGGCACCCTGTCCTGCAGCGCCAGTGACCAGATGCGCCGTTACCGCACCGCCTTCACCAGGGAGCAGATCGCGCGGCTGGAGAAGGAATTCTACCGGGAGAACTACGTATCGAGGCCTCGGAGATGCGAGCTGGCAGCCGCTCTAAACCTGCCGGAAACCACCATCAAGGTATGCGTGGGCCGAGTGGGGGGTGCCCACTCAGAAGGAAGTAAATGCCAACTGCCCACTCCCTGAGCCGAGAGGAATATGAGGTCTCCTTGCCACGTGGCAGCAAGGCTGGGGACCTCCAAGCCCAGTGCATGTTGGGTGCAGCAAGTCACTCCGTGTAGATTTACACCCTCCCCCCGCCCCAGGATCCCTAGGCAGGCACTGCTGCCATACAGATGACTTGTCCAATTCTTAGCCAAATAGGATGGGGGTCAGCTTGGCACTCTGGTTGGCCAGAGGGCCTTCAATTTGTCCAAAGCCATGGGCCTTCAGCCGTAGGGGTGAAAAGGGAGTGCCCTAAAAGAGAGCACCTGGAAGGGAGGCGTTTCTGGGAATCACTGCGTGGCACCTCTGACCAGCCCTTCTAGTCTCCCCACTATTTGCATGCCCGCACTGGGTTCTGGCATCCCAGAGGGAGGGAGAGACTGGGGGCAGGGACGGGAGTCACTTCCTGAAACTCTCAGGGGAGGGATTCTGGCTCCAAATGGTGGTGGTGGGATCTGCCGCCCTGTAGGTCTCCGCCTTGGCTCTTCCCTGAGCTGTGGGCATTGTCTCCTGCAGTGGAACAGGACTTCTGGGCTTTGGGCCTCTGAGTCAGGTCCAATGCCGAATCTGCTCTGCTCCTCCCGCAGGTGTGGTTCCAGAATCGGCGCATGAAGGACAAGCGGCAGCGGCTGGCCATGACGTGGCCTCACCCGGCCGACCCCGCCTTCTACACGTACATGATGAGCCACGCGGCAGCCGCGGGCGGCCTGCCCTACCCCTTCCCGTCGCACCTGCCACTGCCCTACTACTCGCCGGTGGGCCTGGGCGCAGCGTCCGCCGCCTCGGCAGCCGCCTCGCCCTTCAGCGGCCCACTGCGCCCACTCGACACGTTCCGCGTGCTCTCTCAGCCTTACCCGCGGCCGGAACTGCTGTGCGCCACCCGCCGCTCTACCCGGGCCCGGCGCACGGACTAGGCGCCTCGGCCGGCGGCCCCTGCTCATGCCTCGCCTGCCACAGCGGCCCGGCCAACGGGCTGGCGCCCCGGGCCACCGCCGCCGCCGCCTCAGACTTCACCTGTGCCTCCACCTCCCGCTCGGACTCCTTCCTCACCTTCGCGCCCTCCGTGCTCAGCAAGGCCTCCTCCGTCGCCCTGGACCAGAGGGAGGAGGTGCCCCTCACCAGATAAGGGGCCGCCCGCGGACTACTGGCTCCAGGACGCCCGTGGGGGCCCCCCCGAGGACTCAGCCAGCGTCCCTCCCCGACCCAGGACACGGAGGGGGAAAGGAGAGGGCCGCAAAGGACCAGAGAGACACGGTCTCGAGGGTCGGACGACCGGGAAACGGCGCATTTGGGGAGCAGGAGTGGGGATGAGGAAGCAGAGGCTTTGAGAGCTTCCTCTGGGGCAGCCCCTCTTTGCCGTTTAGACCCACCGCCCTTGACCGGGGTTGCGGCCTTGGCTCCAAAGCTAAACAAAACGTAGCAGCAACAGCAACCAATATCCAGCTCCTCAGACCCTTCCGCCCAACACCCGTTCCTCACCGGGGACCCCTCCTTCCTGCCAAGGCCGAGCCCATGCACTGGAAGGGGAAATTGCTGTCTCTCGGAACAAATGCTGTGTATGCAGAGCAGGTAGAGATTAATCTTTGCCAGCTTTTTCAAGGCATGGCAAGGGGCTGGTGGCTGACAACCCAGCCATCTACTGGAGAGAGTGAGAGAGACGGTTTACTACCACGGAGAATCCTGCCACTCAGCAGGGAACCTGGGGGCTCTCTCTCGCCTTTCTGGAGCCTCAGTTACACAGCATCTTCTGATTGACCAGTCCCTGATCTCCTCTTTCCTCCCTCCTAGCTTCTGACAAGTCTCATCTTGCAAGTCCACCCCCTTCCCCACACACTTTTTGTTTGACATTGGCAGGGAAGCTGCTGCTGCCCCAGGGCCCCTTGGCGGCTTGTGGGAGGCCAGGCCTCTTCTCCCAGAGCCCAGTGCACACCCTGATTAGCAAGTGATGTGTGTGAGGAGGGTTTTTGAATGTTGAATGTATAATAATAATCACCATGTGGCTGGCCACTGAGCTAGAGCTGAGCTGTTAACAAGGCGCCCAGGGAAGAGCTTAAGGAGTGGGGACCTCACTTCCTTCCCTCAGTATCTGGCGGCAACTTAGAGAGAGACCATCCATTTCCATCCTTTGCCTGTTCACCTTCACTTCACCAGAAGCTTTCTAGCTTTTCCCTTTGCATTTGGCATTTTACATCCTTCTTCCTCTCATTCCCCCCCCCCCCTTCTTCTAGAAGTTGCCACTGGGCTTGACTAAGCTACCACCACCAGGACCCTTCTGGCCTTTGGGGGACCTTGTCTCTTCCCTTCACCAGGATTTGTTTGAGGGCTGTTCCCAAACCCTCACTCCCACACTCATTCTTGCAGTCAGTGTTTGAGGGAGAGGAGAATCTGTACTCCCCAAAGCAAGCTTCACCCACACTGGGAGGGAGTGCTTCTTCTGTAAAGAATGAATCTGATTTGGTTTGGTTATCCTCCGAGCCCAAAGAATTTGCTGTTATGATTTATTAACCATATTGCAATAAAAGCTGGACATGATTCTCACCTCAGCATTTTTATTTTTGCCAACAGGCAGCACGCTGGCTCTTTTTAAATTGCTAGTTCAGCTACCACGGGCTTGGGTACGAAAGGACCAAAAAGATGAACCCACAGAGTCTCCCAGGCCCCTGTTGGATATTGGCCGGCTCCAAACGGACATTGGGCAGAGGTGGAGAAGGCAGGCTATGAGCCACTCTGGGGTGTGTGTTTCCTTAATTCTGTACACTCTGGTCTAGCCCTCCATGGATGAACCACCCAGGGCTCACCTCTGCTGTGGTTATTCCTCCAGTTGCTTCACCCCTTTGAAGAAAGGATTCCCGGGGCTGCCATCTCTGTGTCCCGACTCTACTCCAATCCAATATGGGGGCTAGTGGGGCAGCGGCAGAGGAGCTTGAGCTCCGCAGAGAACTGGGTCGCAGGCCAAGCTGGGTCTGCATCTGAGGGTGGGAGGGTGAGGAGGGAATAAGACAGGAGAACTCCGAATTGGAGTGAGAGGGCCCAAATTTCAGGCTGAGGCCTCACCCCTAGGACAGAATTCTAGGTGGATTAGGGCAAGGGGACACCCAGCAGTGTTCACCCTCACCCCCCTTAGAGTCAAACTTGGCTGCTCTGGAGTCCTGCTCAAGCTGGGGAGAGACGGGCGCCCTCAGCGAGGCGAGGAAGCACAGGGATTGCTGGACGCTGAGGATCCTCTGCCCGTGTCTTCACCAGCAGGTGGGGGCTCCTCTCCGGTCTCCCTCCCGCCTTGAGCTCCAGAGCAAACTCTCCTGCACCCAGTGGCCCCTGCCCTCTCCAGCAAATCCTGGCGCTGAGGTTTCCTGCGTCTCATCCCAAACCTCACCAGCCCTGCGCGGCTCCCTCCGCCTCTGGGAAGTTCCCAGGTGCCAAACCCTGGCAAATTTCGCGGTTGTTCGGCGTCAGGCCGAGATTGCTTGCGACAGGTAAATGGGCTGCGGGTTTCTGTAATGCCAGGCGTATTTTCAGTTAATAGGGAGGGAAAATGAGGTGTCTGCAGCGATATTGGAAAGTACAAGATCGATGATTCGGCCTCGTGTCCAATCAGCAGCCTTTAATTGACTGTATTTTCTGGGTAATTGAGCCTCTCTTCCTCCAAATTGAAGTGGAAGATATAACAATACATCTTGCCAAGAGGAATTACTCATTACTTCATAATGAAATTTCCCTTTTGCCAAGGTTTGCAATTTGGTGCTAGGCACCACCTCCACTCCCCCTACCCCCTCTCCGCCTTCATAAAAACACACTCTGCCCAAGCCCACCTACACCAGGCAACTCTCTCCGGTCTGACAAGCTCCATTTTGGTGGTGTATGTGTGGGGAGAGGGTGTGAGACGACCGTGAAAAAGGCACTGCCTCCGCCCATCTTCAGTCTCTTCATCTGTAAACCCAGAGGGCTAGACCAGATGACAGGGCCTGACTTGGTATTGTTTTCGTTTTTCAACTTCATAATCGGCTCTACTCAGCTTTGCCCCATATCGATTCCATTTTGCAGGTGGGCAAACGGAGGCTCCGGGTCTCAACAGCTGTTAGTCACTGATGCAGCTATGAGCTTGGGATTCTGCTTCCCCTTCCTGTCTCACTTTGGGTCGGACATTCCGCAGTCGCCTGCAGAGAATTTGACACCTCTTTCTGGACTCCCTTCCCTACAGCTTCCTAACCGTGTCGGGCCAGGCGGGACCGGGAGCTCGGTCTAGCGCCTGGTCCAGGTCCGCCGGGCCCGGCAGGACCCGCCGCCCCGCAGTCGAAGTGCGCGCCTGGAGAGGGCCGTCCCCGGCTTGTTAACGTGTGATTGATTGCCTTATTAAAGCGTGTTCTTGTAAGTGTGACCAAACTGATTGCATTGCATATGTTTGGGATAATGCTCATTTTAAACAACAGGATAAAGAGGCTGAGATCGGCAGAGCCTCGGAAGACGAAATGATTCTGGCCAGCAGCTCCCTAACGCTGGCATTAAATTGCCCAGTTACGTAGCAAATCACTCGGTACCTCCACCCCGTCCCCGTTATTTTCTCCTGGCCTGCAGTTTGATGCGTCTCCCGTTTTGGTTTGTCCCAGGAATGCTTTCTCTAGTGGCCACATACGTGGGCTTCACCTTTCTAGGCGCTAACCCTCACTTGCACATCCCAGTCATTGAGCACCCCCAAACCAATCCCAGGCAGGAGAAGTGATTCTGAATGCACCCTCTAACTCTAGGCCTCCCAGCAGGACATGGCTCTAAGCAGTCATCCCAAGGGGAGCTTCCGGACACGCAGCAATTTGTGTGCCCCCCACCCCCCGCCCAGCCCTTTTTGAAAGTTTAGAAGATTCTTTGTTCCCAGACTTCTCCCGCTCGGTTGCTTCCATTATTCCCTGACCAAGGAAACACTCGCCGCCATATGTTGGCCGGAGAGCGTGGGTGTCATGGCGGAGAGTTGTGGAGGATGGCCAGACGGGTTCCTTCTCGGAATGGGAAGAGCTTTGCCTTCTCAGCACCCTCTCTGTGCACTGTCACCCCGGAGTGGGAGATGGAGGAGTAGGAGTCAGTAACTGTGAAGG